TGTCTCAGTTTGGATTCCCACAGCAGCAGACCCTGAGACAAGGATTTGGCTGGAAGTAGTAAAGTAATTTATTTTGGAGGTGATCCCAGGAAAACACTTGTAGGGATTGGAGAAGTAAGACAGAGAAAGGAAGGAAACCAATAAAGGGTGTGTCAGCTAGCAAGTTACTGCTTAGGCAACTGGGCTCTATTTTGCTGGGTAACACAGTGAGAGAATTATTTTAACTGACAGGAAAGGGGACTGGGGCATTTATCTACCAAATCCCCATTCATCATTGGTTGAAGATTGATTACAGGGTTTTGGCTTGCCTTGTATATGGGCTCAATGTGCTTCCATAGCTGGAAAAAAGGCCGTTAATCAGAGAGTTTCAGATAAGCAGCAGCTGCCTTATACCTGGAGAGGTGCCTAGGGGATATGAACTGAAAAATGATAGCTTTTGCTATAGCAGGTCACACAATCAAAGTAGAAGTTTTATTAACTTCAGGAACTTCAGACACTTGATTGCTACCAAGACACTTCTTGTTACTTCTGTATCCCTAGTTCCTGGAACAGTTCTTGGCATACAATAGGTATTTAATAGTTGTTGACTGTATGACTTTCCTTTGGGTACCTGCTTTATTCTTTCAGGCTTCTCCATGTATTTGGAAGACATGACTACTAGCAGTTATGGGTTATAGACTTATAACTCCCTGATAAGAAAGGAAAGTGAGGTTTTCCCTTTCTAGTTTCAGCAAAAAAATTCTCAAGGAGGAAAGCCAGTTGGCCTGGCTTGGGCCATGAGTTCATCTCTTGGGCAGTCCCTTTGGACATGGCCATGGCATATTATGATTGGTTAGGTTTAAGTTGGGTGCCCACCTCTGAGGTGACAAAGGTGGAGACTATTACTAGAATGTAGAGTGACAACATAATTGTCACCATATTTGAAACTAAGGATACCCATTGGAGTGTGCTTAAATTGTGAATGCTATTTGTCTTATATGTCTTAATAGAAAAATGCTTGAGGACTGGCACTGTCTTATCTGAACCATTTAGTACTGCATTATTAGCTCTTATACCTACTGCAGATTTTATAATACATGATGCTGTGACTATTTGAAAGGGGTCCTGTAAATCATCTAGTAATATATACTTTGTAGAGGCACAAATTTGTATCACATGCCCCCGAGGTTGGTTTGGGAAAGAATTGCCAAGTACAACAAGATTGATTCTCTCCCTAGATGTTCTCTCCTCATCCTCACTGGAGTCAATGACTGTCTTCATTTACTCAGTATAATGTTTTCTTGATTTTTTTTTTTTTTTAGCTGAGCCATCCTGCCACCTGTTGGCAGCTCAGCAGCAGCTCAGNCAGTCCTTGGATTCTCTTTTGTTTTTTCAGTCTTTGTACTCTTTAGTTTTGGGGAGGATTGTGTTGATATACCCTCAAGCTCAGAGACTCCTTCCTTTGTCCAGACAACCAAAAACATTCTTCATTTCTGTTACAGTGCTTTTTATCTCTATCATTTCTTTTTGGTTCATTCTTAGGATTTCATCTCTCTGCTTACACTGCCCATCTATGCTTGTATGCTGTCTACTTTCTCCAACAGGGCCCTTAGTATATTGATCATAGTTGTTTTAAATTCCTGGTCTGATCATTCTAACGCCCCTGCCATGTTTGGCTCTGATGCTTGCTCTGTGTCTTCAAATTGTGTTTTTTGCCTTTTGGTATGCCTTGTAATTATTTTTTTCTTGATATCCAGGCATGATGTACTGTAGAAAAGGAACTGCTGTAAAGAGGCCTTAGTAATGTGTTAGTGAGGTGTGGAAGGAGGCTATTCTATAGTCCTATGATTAGGTCTCAGTCTATCAGTGAGCCCATGTCTCTGAACCGTGAATTTCACAAGTGTTTCTCATTCCTCCTCTCCCCACTCCCATTTGTGGGACAGAATGGCTAGAGCAAGCTGAAGTTGGGTATTTCCCTCCTCCCAGGTCAGTTTGGCTCAGGTAACTACCCTAACAGATTAGGTTCTGCTTACCTAGTTTCTCCTGAGGGCAGGCCTTGTTAGAAGAACTGAGTGTTCTGGTATACAGTAAGGCTTCACTTACTGTACTTCCCCATGTATAAGATGCTCCCATGTATAAGACACACCTTAATTTTGGGGCCCGAAATTTGAAAAAAAATGTGTTAACTTCTTTTTCATGAACAATTCTTCTTGCCTCATGCTGAACCATCTTTGTGGACACAGGAATTCCAATTGCCCTTTGCTCTTCAATCCATAGCTTCAATTCCCTCTCTAAACCTGGTCATTTTGCTGACTTGCCTCTCATGGCCTTCTGCTGTGGNAACGATTTTCCTTTTTTATGTTGAGAACACCCAAGATTTACTCTCTGAGCAAATTTCAAACACACAATATTGTCAAATATAGTTACTAAAAGCCATTATTAATAATACCATTTCAGCTAAGGTACATGGGTAATTATTAAAGAATAATAAAGTAATTTTGTTGTAAGCACCAGGAACTTGAAACCTTTGATCTTTCTTCCTTTATGGCTAAAGGGCAGAAAAGCAGATGAAGCCACAAAACAACTGAAGACTTTTCAGTGGGAGTCCAAGATTTTATTCATTCAGTCATACAATCATTCAACCAGCGTATTGTAGGCACTTTTCATGGACAATGAATGACCATCCACTAGTGAGACAGGCAGTGGTGGCAGCAGACTTGAGTCCCAATCAGGCGTCACCATTTACTGACTCTAAGACCTTGGGCAACTTTTGTCCTTGAGCATTATCTTTCTCATCTGTAAAATAAGAATAATAATATCTTCTTGACTTGGGCATTGTTACAGTTAAAAGTGAGGTAAGGTCCCCAGAAATACGCATAACCAGTGTTCTTTAACATATGTCCTGTTTGCCACTGTTATTCAACTAGGTTCTGAGAGCATGATGAAAGAAATCATAAATAGCCTCTCTCTCCACATTCCTTTCCCAATCTAAGAGGGCAGCAAAAAACTCACAGAGCTTAATGCAACACGTGAGACGCCAAAAGTCTGCCCCCAGTGACAGCAAGCTTTCATCTTCGAAATTCATTTGAGTTCTTCTAATCTGAAGATGTCTTTCTTTAGGTTTTGCGGCTCTACAAGATAATCTGTGCTAAACCCTGCTGTTCTTGAGGTCAAATGTTCGCCTGCAGGGTGGAGAAACTCCCACACTGGTCCTGATGGGGGCAGCGAGCCCCGAGGGCGGGCCACTAAAGCCGTCTGGCAGCTTTGTCCTAGTCTTCCGAAAGGCGCAGCCGAGGGGGCGTTTCTGGGCAGCAGTGGCGGGCAGTGCCGGCGCCTCCCGTCTCTATTTCTGGATCTGTGCCTTGGCTCAAAACGCAAACTTCGGTAAAGTTTGCAGCCAGGAGCGAGCACGTGGGAGCCTCGCCGCCTGGCCCCGTATGCCGCGTGGTTCGCTTACGGGTCTCCCCATTCAACGGCGCTGGCTGCCCTGCCACGCACCTGCACGTGGCTCGCATGGCTCGCCGCAGCGCCTACCCCGCGGCCTCGCGGTTCCCGACTCCCCGGCTCCAAGCAGCTGCAGCGGCAGCAGGAGGGGCGCGGAGCCGGCGCCCCACAGGCTGCACGGCCCGGGAGGCGGGGCCTGGGCGGGCCGCCCGAGCTCCACTCCCGGAAGCGGGTGGCTCTGGGCTCCCGCAGAGCCGATCGGCGCGGCGGCCAGAGCTGCAGCATCCCTGCCGACGCCTCCAGGAGCAGCGGGAACGGCACCGCGGCCTGAGCAGCGCGATCCCGACTCTCTGCCGCCCTGGCTGGCAAGATGCTGCCGGTGTACCCGGAGTTGAAGCCCAACCCGCTGCAGGGCGCGAATCTCTGCTCACGCGTGTTCTTCTGGTGAGCTCCCTGGCCCAAGCCGCAACCCCCCGCCGCTGCCGCGCGGGTGTCTGGTGCTGCCGGCGTCTTTTGGGGTGGGGGACCGAAGGTCTGGACGTGGGAGCGCTTTCCGCCCGCGCTTCTTTCCGCGGGTGGGGCCGTCCCACGCTGCCTGCGTGGTCCCCGCCTGCGCCCGGCGTGCGGACCGGGCGGGAGCAGGGCGGGGAGGGGGACCCGGCTACCTGGTGGCAGGGGCGCAGGGTCTCCGTGCTTTGCCGCTCGCGGCCCCGCGAGCCCCCGGTGCCCGAGAGGCGGCGGAGGAGGAGAACGGAGGCTGTCTGGGGGGAATCCGCCCAGCAGGAAAACGGACTTACCCCCACCCCCGTCGGCTTCCCCCTTAGAGCTCAGGGATTCGCAATTTTGAACTAAAACTACCCTTTTCTTTCTAAGCAAGCAGCATATAAACAGCTTCCCTTACCTAATTTCAACCAAAGTCTAATTAGTGCCCTGGACCATTGCCATCTCCCAGCAGTGTCCTCATCTCTTCTGATATTCCTTATATTACAGCTGCATTTCAGATCTGGGCTCCCCCTGTGCCCACGTCTGTGACCATGTCTGTGTGTCTTCCTCCCTCCCTCCCTCTCTTCATGTATGGCCTAGTACTTAGTTGTGGCAAATTTCAGGCCGGTAAAAAGTTATTATTTAATGAATGGGGACACTGTTCTTGAACACTGCTTTTGCCTGGGACACACACAGCCATGACAGGAGTACGCCTTTCACCAGCTCCTTTCCTATTGAGAATATTTCTACTTCCCTTTGAGGACTACTCTGGGGATAGGTCTTATATGGATCTCTAGCCGTTAGAGAAGCATCCAGGGCCTTGATGCAGGTGGTCTTGTCCAGGAGTCCTATGGTCCTAAAACCACCGAAGGGTCCCTGCACTGGAAGGAAACACACAGGTGAAAAATGGCCCACAGAGATGAAGCTCTTAACTGAAGTTTTCCATCTAGCAGCTGGGTCTACTAACTGGGTGGGCCTGAACCGACTTCAGACTTAAATCACACGTGGCTGATTGTTAGCGCTTTTGTTTCTCTTATTCCGATATTTCCTTTTTTTTTTTAACTCGAATGGGAAAGCCTAAGGAATCCCAAGGGGATGAGTGCTCCTACACTTGGTTTGATTGTGGTGTATTCAGTATTTGTGGAAACATCTCTTGGCTGTTTGGTGGCCCTTAAAGAAAGGGGCGAAGAAGGAATATTGGTTGTGGTTCCCATAAATTGTAATGAAGTAGGCGAACATCTCCTTAACTTCAGGCAGGGCAAGGAATGCACTTTTCTATTTGTGGATTTTGGAAATGTTTGTACTTGGAGATGGGAAGGTGAGGCCTTATCATTAATGAGTTGAGTAGGTATCCACTTCTGGTTTCCCTGCTGGAGGGCAAGGAGTTGTTATGTTTTACACCTGAAGGCACTGAAGCAGAGAGAAGTTGAGTACGGTGCCTAGGATCACACAGCTAGTAAGCGGTGAGACAGGATCTCAAACCAGGCAGGCTGGTGTCCCGGCTTGTGCTCGAAACAGATGTACTGAACTGTTGGGACCCTTGTTTTTAAACGCTTGGAGAACGCTACTCCACACCCATCTTTGCTGTAGGCTGGAGTTTCTTCCAGTTCTTGCTGTAGGAGGTGGTGCACGAGAAACATCTGTTACCATGCTTTAGGGCAACTGTTCTCAAAGTATGGCACTCACACCTGCAGCATCCGCATCACCTGAGAGCTTGTTAGAAACGCAAATTCTCTGGCACCCTTCTAGATCAATTCTGTAAAATTAGAAACTCTGGGGGTGTGGGGTGGGGTTTAAACTAGCGCTCAAGGTAATTCTGATCAAAGGCTGAGACTGGCTCACTGCTTTAAGCCACTCCTGCCATTGTCATGGTTATTCTAGTATTACAGTTTTTAAAAAGGGGCAAGTCTTTGTGAAGTTAGTTGTAGACCAGGATTTCCACCTTGTGTTTATTTACCTTATGCAGTTTGAGAAATTTTAAAGTCTGAGGCACTTGAGTAATTTTCTTGTGTACCCCCCTGGCTGCAGGCGACAAAGCTGAAATGCGCCCAGCCAGGAAGGGCTGCCTGGGGACAAGGCCAAGCTTGTAGAGAAAAACCCAATTTTCAACTTCTCATTGAGTATTTGCTTTTCTGCTCCTGTTTCATCTCTCTCAACTTGCGAACTGCTAGCTACCTACCTTAAAGATGCCAATAACTCGCTTATTGACTTTTATACAAGTGACTTCACTGGGTTTTTGGTCTTTTCATAGCACATTTTGGACTTGGGGGTTTAAGAGGAGCCATACGTTATGGCTGTTCGTTATTGGTGTGGATTTTTGAAAAGAATATCTATTTTTTCTATTTCTGTAAGAAATTTAAAACCATAGGAAAAGAAGAAAGGAATAAGGATGATTTCTCTCTATTAGCCAAGTATACCTGCTGATATTTGGT